AGCTTCACCTCGTTTTAGTCGATAACGTAAAGCTTCACCTCGTTTTATTCGTTAACGTAAAGCTTCACCTCGGTTTAGTTTATAGCGAAGTTAGCCCGCTACACTGGTACACATAAAGATGTCCGCCGCTCTGACTGCTGTTACACAATAACGAACAAACTGAGCAGAGTCTGGTTTACATCACCGGCAGCCTGATCTGTTTTTCTCTCACATAATTACATCGGGGATCTCGTGTGGGCTTTGCTCTCGTTACAGGAGCGAGTGTCCCTGCAGTTTCCTCGGAGCCGATTACGAACCAGGAGATGTGATCATGACATCAGCAGGTGTTCAGTAAGCTCCTCCCCTCCGTCTCTGTCTACCTACAACTGAAAAGGACAATTTCAACAATAACTTAATGTTAATTTAGGATGATGATTAATAAACACTTCTTACTGACTTGAGAGAAAACAACTGGAAGCTGTAGTTCAGTTGGTTGAGATGATCATTATTTTGTGGACCAGAACGCTGCAATCAGGACGGAGACAAAACCGTCTGAAGGCTTTTACACATCGAGGGCTTCACCAATAAACAACACCAAAATGCGGAATACTCAGCTGCAAATATTTTGCATCAAAACTATTCATACTGGCGGTAATGAGAAATTTGCGTCAGTTGCAACACGACAGTTGCAAAAAAGGACCCTGGTGTGTAACAGCCTTAAAGCTTCAAAGTGTGGGTAAAATAAAATCTAAGCTTTGTTTTTAAACACATTACTCATGTTAGAAAATCAGACTCTGAACTATATAGAACTCAATTAAGACCGTGAAATCATAACTCGATGAAGCATCCTCAGCATAACTAGAGTCACAACCATAGACTGTATACATAGAAGTGGACGTAGTCGTCGTGAACGTCTATTAACTGGACTGACGATACAATACCAATACTAATATACAGTGTTGCTGTTCTGCTAGTAACTGGGAAAAGTTTCATAATAAGTGTCTAGAGAGAAAGAATAATGTGATAAAAAGATAAAAAAAACACTGTAAGAACGAAAACAAGAAATAAACAGAAACTGCAATCACACTGGATCAATTTATCGATCGATTAACCTTCATCATGTATCATCATCCTCATCATCCTCATCATCGTCCTGTCCTCTCTGTGTTCCCTTACAGACTCTGTCTGAACGGTAAATTGGTGTCCCAAACACCAGACAGCGGTAAGTCCCTTAAATCCAACACGTTCACTCCAGTTAAGCTGATGTGTATTATTCACTTACGATTATAACATCGGTGCTTTCTACATCTGTGTCGCTCAATCACAGGTGACACATTTCTCACTCACTATTGCATCTTATATGAAAAGGTGGGACGGTCCTCCTTAAAGGGACAGTTCACCCCAAAATCAAAACCACACATTCTTCCTCTTCCCTGTTGTTTATCAGTCCAGATGGTTTAGTTGTGAGTTGCAGAGTGTTGGAGGTATCAGCTGTAGAGACGTCTGCCTCTCTGGTTACATTCAAATACAGTTCTTACAATGTCGGGCCACATGACTTGTTAGTCTGAGGTGAAACCTTTTCTTCACACTGAACTTGGAAAACATAATACTGTTTTGCATACGAGTGGAACAAGCTCCAAAAATAAATATATAAGACGTTACATTCTTTTTTATTTCACCCTGAACATTTGAAAAGGCTGCACTTCTGTATTTACAATCATACTTTAGATGCTTTTCTTAATTGTGATGCATGTGAATCTCAATGAGACTTCCCGTTTAAATAAAGGGTTGAATAAGATAAATAAATCGTGTCACATCTTCCCTCTCTCTTAACATCACGACTGAGCACGATCACAGACACTGGAGCTTCTTATGAACTCGTCTTACCTGCGATTCTTCTTCTCCTCTCACAGACATGTTGTGTCCGGCTGGTCAGCTCTACCAGAACTGCTCAGAGGCGGACGATGGCGTCCTGTCGGGGAGGGGCGTGGCCTGCGAGCACACCTGCGAATCCTTCCTGCTCAACCTCACCTGCTCGTCACATGAGCCCTGCGTGGCCGGATGTACCTGCCCTCCTGGGTGAGTGATGAGTCACTTCAAATGTTTTTAAGACTTCTTGTTTCTAAAGCAAAAAAACGAATTGGCCTTCTTTGCATAATCCCTAGACATGTTAATGGTGTTTTATTTGTGACAGTCATGTGATCGTGCTCGCCAAGTTACAAAAATTCTGATGTGCACGGCCGCGCACCGCGACCACTTGTCATTTCACGCCGACTTCACTCCTTTGAGTATAAACTAAGCTTCAGCCTGCAGGGCTTTCTGATAGAACTGTCCTGAGGGTCAGGCAACAAACCTACTTGGTTTATGAAAAGATTTGGGCTTAAGATAAATCCTAAAACTACTACTACCGTGTGCCACTGACTACTGTGCACACGCCGCTGTGATCATCCTGCTACATGGATTCCAATGGGAACGTACTCCCGTTCTATTTCTATGGGTTGGTCAGAAGAATCTGTTGAGATTCAAATAAATAAAATAGGAACTTCTGTTGAGTTTTGGTAACAAAACTCAACCCGATCCTCAATGCCTTGTGAGGCAGTGGAATTTGTTTTTGCGGTGATGTTGATAATGAGTCTTTGAGTCTTTGATACTCGGTAGGAGACAGAAGTCCTCCCAACCAGCCGATGAGGTGGACAGACATCACGGAGTAGATTACGGTCATCTGATCCCCGTAATCCCTTTTGGCTGTCGCCCCCTGAAAGGAGGGTTAAATGGTTTCACTCTGTGACATCAACCGAGAGTCATCCTCATTACAGGATGCACAGACAGGAGTTAGCATCAGAGCTTATATAGATGATGGTAGCTGACAACAGAGGCTCTATGTCCTGCAACACATGGTCAGTCATACAGAAGAAGAAGAAGGATACCACAAATAATACTCAAGTGGTAAAGTGTAATAAATAATGGAGAACACAAAATTAAAAAGTAAAAGATCAGAATGTCAATCATCACACAGCTGAACATACATTTGAAGATAGAATATAGATCCCGTAGAATAATCAGTGATCCCTGTTTAACCAAAGTCCCAACAAAAGAGAAAACATATAAAGTTAAAAAAAATGTAACTAGAAGCTATCGGTCTCAAAGTTACGGCGTCCGGCAACGGAAAGCACTCGACGGCCAAAACATTTCTACGAGGAGGAACTTCCTGCAGCTTCAGAAATGATTCAAAGTCAAAAACATACAAACCCCGACAACAAGTGGTCCAGGAGGCAACCTCCAGTTCTGCAGAGTGAACACGATGCGGAAGTATCCTTAAAGCTGCATTCTCTCTAGTGTCCACC